ATTGAATTCTAAGCCACCAGAGGGGAGAACGGAGAATCAGCTCAATTTCTATTTGCAGCACCTCCAAAGAGCTTAGGAATTGAGCTCTGAGCACCAGATACCTCTGAAAGTAAAGGTAGAGGAGGAGCTGAAATAAGGAGGATTGATGAAAAGTCCAAGGGCAACTCTTACTAGCCCTGGTGGAAGGAAGTTTATTGTCTGAAAAAGGTAAAGCATAGATCTCTGGCAAAATGACATCAGATACATGTGAAGGCAAGGTGCCACAGTAAATACAGAAGATTACATGAACAAATAAAAAGTAAATGGTAAGATTTCCCAACCTTCTTGCTCCAATAAGATCCCACAACACTAGCAGCTTGGCCTTCACCCTCCATGGAGGAGCCTTCTTCTCTAGGAAAATATAACTCACCCCAAGAAGAAAAACCTACAGGTACTGACCTCACAAGTTCCCAATTCACCAGCCTAGAAAGATTACCCTCCAGTGAAACTCAGCAAGCCCCACTCACACACTTAGAGCTCCTAATCAACTTTTTATCTCCCAATGATGAGCAATAACTGTGGTTGCCAGTCTCAAAGATGGACCCCCAAATCCCTGACTTCTAAAAAGCATGCCCTCATGTATTCCCTGCCACCCTGAATAAGGCTAACTGTTGTAACCTAGGTACTGGAAAAAGCATGATGTGTGAATGCAGGCAAAGAGACTGCAAACTGCTATTTTAATTATGTGTGTGAAGAATCTTTGTACCAACAACGTCTTTAAAGGCAGCAGTACCCCTTCTTCAAATGCCGTCTTACGCTGGATGAAGATGCTGCTGCTCTGGTGCGGTGGAGGGTGTGCACACAGAGCTCTACCTGTTCCAGACCCATCCTCTGTGGCCCAGAGCTCCTCTCAGGTTAACTGGACAAAACCTCAACACCTCTGATGAGGACGACTGACTGAGGCAAGACCCAACGGACCACCCTCCAATGCATCCCTTGTCCCCCATGGCATTTCTACATGGAATATCCTTTCTGTTACAGGAATATTACTGAAGCGTATACTCCGCAGGCAGCTACGGCCCTGTGGAAGACCATTGCCCTTACAGCCAGAAGCCCTGGAGTCTAGGCACCGCACTGCCTCTTACCCCAGAACACTTAATAACATATGCAAGGCGGCTTCCTCATCTATAGCACAGAGATCATGCCCTGACTTTAGCAGGGCTGCGGTGAGAATGAACTAAAAGAAGTGAACTCGTTTGTAAACAGTGGTCTATAACTTGCACGTATTGAGGGTGTTACTTGAAACCCTTCCACACTCACACTGCATGACTTTGACTTCTTTCCCCAGTGGCATCCAAAGTCCTTTGGTTGGTGCGTGGGCCAGAAATTCCCTGGCATGTTCACTGCCTGGGACATCTGGTATACAGTCTTCTGGCTTAGTCTCATCCTCCTGAAAAAGGAAACTGTGTAAGCTGTGTGGCAAAAAACATAGGAACTCTCTCCCACCTGTCTGAGAACACAGCCCTGCCTGGCTTTCTCATGGGCTGGAGATCCCAATGTCATCATAAGTTACCCTCTGAAGAGCTAGAAAGAAAGACAAATCATAACTGACAGAAAAAACGGAAGTAACTATACTAGAAGAGCTAGCTATACCATGAAAACAAAGTAGCTGTTCTTAGAGAAGAGTTACTAGTGTTTACATAGGATTGATCTGTGAGCTCCAAATTCTGATTCTAGATCACAAAAATTAGATTCTAAGATCACAAAAAGTTTTCTGCTAACTTAAAAGCTTTGTGGAATGAGGCAGAATATAGAGTTAAACAGGTGAGGTTTCCTGGAATAATAAGAACAATGTGTTAGAGTAAAATAGATTATTAAACCTTGAAGGCCACTGTCATGTTTTATAATCTCACACATGCCATATTAGTGAGATGTATTTTCATTACCAAATAACTGCACTATGTAATTAAGGTGCTGTTTTTTTACCTCATGATTTTTTCAAGTTTCCACGAATATTAAATTTATAATGGAAGAATGTTTTCTAAAAATCTTTTTTTTAAGTTGAAAGTTACCAAACAGAAAAGGTTACTTTGGCCTTAAGTCCTCTAAGTCTCGCTCCTGCAGAAAGACACTGACACTGTGGCCAGGGTGCTGGAGGAGGGACTCCTGCAACAGGTAGGGCTGGACTGGATGAGCTTCACGTCTCCTCAGAGTCCAATGTTCTCTGAGCTGATGACATTCAAGAAATCAGCACCGGGCGGGTCAGAGAAGGAACATGGGGCAGGAGAGCTTTGAGGAGATGCAGTCACAGTGAGACAGAAAAAATGGGAGTGAGCGCTGAGGAACACTCGGGGGGCCTGCAGTGGTTTCTTAGGGGACAGACACAAGGCTGATTAAATTTCTGCAAAGGCACAGGCTGTGACAAAGCCCAAAGTGCATGAACCGACTGCCATCTGCAGGGAAGACACAGAACTATCATAAAAGGAGGTTCAAACCTTATGCAGCTGTTTTTCGTAAGTGACTGAGTCTGAGCACCGAGTCAAATCTGTCTCAGAGAAAAACCAAAAGTACAAACTTCACACTGACCTTGATAAGTCCAGGAGGAGGTTTTTCATAACTAGAAAGGAAGAAAACACCAGTCATGAACCATGTTCATAGGAATGTAACACATCTCAATCAGCAAAAGGCAACTGCAGACCAAAATGAAAAGACTTTTTTTTTTAGAAAAAACTTCAAACTACATTATAACTAAAACAGTTAATAAAATATGCCCAGCAGTCAGAAGTCCTATATAAATAAACTGATGCTATACCACATCCTGTTCGATGTCGAACTTAAATTCACTGAAATCATAACTTGGTGTCTTGGCACAGCGATTTTATTTTTGGAAGAAGGGAAAGCAAGAGATTGCAGGGAAAATGTGAGGTAAGAAGAGCCTTGAGGGCCTCCCTGGTGGCGCAGGGGTTAAGAATCCGCCTGCCAAGTCAGGGGACACGGGTTCGAGCGCTGGTCCGGGAAGATCCCACATGCTGTGGAGCAACTAAGCCCGTGTGCCACAACTACTGAGCCCACATGCCTAGAGCCTGTGCTCCGCAACAAGAGAAGCCACCGCAACAAGAAGCCCGCACACCACAACGAAGAGTAGCCCCCGCTCACCGCAACTAGAGAAAGCCTGCGCACAGCAACGAAGACCCAACGCAGCCAAAAAAAAAAAGTTATAACAATGTTAACACTGACATTGATTAGGAAAGTTATTATGATGGTGCTATATTGGAAGGATGGAAACAAGAAGGGCAAGTAAGAGAACTAAATCTTTATCTACTATGACAAGAAGTTAACAGATGTCTAAAATTGTTGAGTCAACAAAACCAGTTGTAAGCATATAACCTAGAAATGTGCAGTTAAATGCAAGAAATAAAAACTAGAAGAGTCTGCACATGGAAGGCTGGGCCTCGTTAGGAGGGAAGGGGGTGGAGGGCTGTGCAGGTTACTCTGGGGGGTAAACGAGGAGTTGGGCAGCCCAGCGCTATTTTTGGTAGCATTTTTAGTACTATTTGAGTTTTAAGCTATATACAAGTATTACTCTGGTATGAATTAAACTTAATTAAAATCAAACAAAACCCTGAACTAGAAAAAGCAAATATGTCCATAGCCTAGCCAGTTTCAAATCTGTGAAACTGGAAAAATCCCACTGGTCTGAGAATCACACTCCTGAATTCTGCTCTAATTTTGTTGGCTAACCAGGTCAGTGGCTTAACCACTGAGCCTCCATTTTCTCATCTACAAAACGTTATCATCTTTCTCTTGTCTGTGAAAAAGCTCTGTGAGCTACAAAATAAACACATAGTATTAACCACCACCTGGCATCCCACAGTTAAAGATACAGAGGGCTGGTGGGGCTAAGCCCTGCCTGAGCCCAGAGTGCCTTGAACACGCCAGGACTGTGGATGCCAGCAATGCAGAACCTGTTTCCAAACCACGGCCCACTGAGGTGAAATTCAGCTCAAGAGCCACACTGAAAAGAGCAGGCCAGGCTCCAAGGAAGCATGCACTTTGTATCAAAGCTCCCAGAAGGTTAATGAGGGCCTTTCCTTACACGACTGTCTCAGCAATCATGAGAAGGTAGGTAATGAGAAGTGCCTGAAACAGAAATAATTCAGATAACTCAGTGAACACCGAACTTAGTAAAGTCAGACTTCTAAAGCTGATTACAGAACGACAGAAACACAGAAAAGAACCGCAAGGGTCATTAATCCAACCTTCCACCTGATGTTTAAATCTCCTTTACAACCAACCCTTCTCTCAGGCGTTATCTGGACTCTCTCCAACCCCGGGTAGCTGGGGGAGTACAGTGCCTCCTAGGTCAGGCCACGCTGACCGGCAAGAATCTATGACTCTGGTCCTAATTCTTCTTGTTGAGCTGGAACTAGCCTCTTTGTAGCTTCCACACTTAACCCTGGTAAAAAAAAAAATCCTGGGGACGAGAGAGAAGTCCACGCTCTCTTCTACCTGACAGCTCCTCCCGAAGAGTCAGGGACCAGGCCCTCACCCCACGTTTTTTCTTCCCTTCCTCACCGCGCACTCATGTTACGGGACTGGGCTTTTTCCTCCCTAGCTAACAGCACTAGATGAAAAGAATGGGGATTTTACCCAGTTCAGAGCGAGCCCCTTGAACTGAGAAATGGGAAAGGACCCAAGGGCGCAGCCGCACTTCTCCTGTATTCAAATCCTGACCGACACCGACGTCGCCGCACGAGGAATAAAACCGTAGTTTCCGGCAGGGAAGCGCCCGCCCGCCGCCGCCTCGCGCGCCCGGGACGACCCTGGGGACGGAGTCTCCCCGCTCTTCCTCCAGCGGCTGAGAGTCCAGCGTCCCGCAGCCCGGAATCAAATCCCGCACCCGGCTCGCTGGGGACGGGCCCACCTGTCCACTCGCAGGTTTCCAACCCCGGGCGGGCCCCGCCGTGCGACCCCGGGCCCCGACCCCATTCCTCGCATTAGTCGGGGGCGGGCGTGACGGACTCACAAGGACTCCAGGTGCTTGAGCTGCTGCAGCTGCTGCGCGTCGTGCCGCCGCCGCCTCTGTTCCCGGCGTCGCTGCAGCTCTTGCTTCGGAGGCTCCCGCGGCCGCCGCGCGCCCCCGGTCCCCGAGTCGTCGCGCCCGAGCCGGGACGACATTGCGGCCCCGCGCCGAGCCGCGAAGATCGCACTTCCTCCGCGCCGCGCCCGCCCTGCCCCGCTGCGTCCCCCTCGCCGCCACTCCGCGGCCCGCCGGGCCGGGCCGAACGTCCCGGCTGAGGCCGCCAGTGCCCCGCCTCCCGACAGGCCGGCCAGACTGCCTCCGCAAGTCCGCGCTCTGAGCGTCCTAACCGTTCTGCGGAGTCAGCGGGTGCCGGAGGCCGTCGCGCGCCCCTCTGGCGGCGGCCAGGAGCCCCGGCGCTGAGGATGCTGCGGAGGGAGCCAGATCTTTCCCTTGGTTCTCTTGAAGTATTCCCTTCTGAAGCCTTCAGGGATGTAAGCTGTTCAGTTGCATAGAAGCCACCATGCTAAGAGGAAGCCCAAGCTAACAAATGGGGAGAGATCACGTGAAGAGGCCCTGAGACAATAAAAAAAGGGATGTCAGGTCAGACCCCACTGCCTAACCACACCCCACCCCTGGTCAGATGACTCCTTGGTGCAAGCCAAAAATAAATCTTAAGGGGCTCACGTCAACCAAGAATTGCTCCTGTCCTCCTGGGGAGGCTTTGTTTGCCGGCCAAGTTATGTGCTTAAAGTAAAAGAAAAGAAGATGGAAGAAGGAAAAAAGAAAAGACAACAAACATTATCTAACCACAACCAGTGACCTTATGGCATGCAAGCAAATAATCTGAAAACTTTAGTATATACTTATATGCAGAAAGCAATTGTGTTGGATTTTTCTCACTTGCAGTTGAAAGAAGTCAATTCAAAGTCAGTTTGTCTAACATAGTGATTTGCTCTCTCAGCAAGAAGACCCAGGGATTGTTAATTCCATTTTAGCAAGTATTAGTCAAAATTCTTTTGAAAACAACAATGGACCAAAATCCAAATCAAACTGCTCTAAGAAAAAAAATTAAGTAATTTATGGGCTTACATATGTGAAATGTCGTGGGATGGAACTTCAGGAATGGCTGGATCTAGGGGCTGAAATGTTATAGTCAGCAACTTCAAAGCTTCACGTTCCTTTGTATTGCTTCATTCTTTGCAGTTTCTCCCATTGTGGGGGCAAAGATGGCCACTGGAATCCAAAGATGGCCAACAAATTAGCAGCCCCAGCTGGAAGGAACTTTCTCTTTCTCAGTTCCAATAAGAATTCCATGTATTATACTCATTGGCTTAGCAAGAGTCATGTACTTGTCATGGAAACAATCACTGTAGTCAAGGAGCTGCAATACACTGACTGCTCATGCCTATGTTACATGTCACCCTAAATCCGAGGGTGGATCAGCTTTATCCAAGCCATATAGACTAAGAGAGGGGGAGGGGTTGTTCCTCAAAGCAAAATCCAGGTGCTATTAACAGAGGAAGAGAGAGAGAGACAGGAAGAAAAAGAAGAGGAGGAGGAAGGAGAAGAGAAGAGCAATATTGGGCAGGGAAAAGTAACAGGTGTACAGTTCAGTGGTCTGACAGCCTCACCCAGTACCATATCCTGAGCTGCATTCTAGGCATCTCTCTTTGATGATTACCCTGTTAGAGCTTATAAAGCAGGGAAAATTCTTTTTTTTATTGGAGTATAATTGCTTTACAATATTGTGTTAGTTTCTGCTGCACAGCGAAGTGAATCAGCCATACGGATACACACATCCCCTCCCTCTTGGACCTCCCTCCCCTCCCCATCCCACCCAACTAGGCCATGACAGAGCACCGAGCTGAGCTCTCTGCTATACAGCAGTTTCCCACTAGCTATCTATTTTAAACATGGTAGTATATTTATGTCAAATCTAATCTCCCAGTTCATCCCACCGTCCCCTTCCCCCCGTGTCCACACGTCTGTTCTCTACGTCTGCCTTTCTATTCCTGCCCTGCAAATAGGTTCATCTGTACCATTTTTCTAGATTCCACATATATGAATTAACATACAATATTTGTTTAGTGAAAATTCTTTTGCTGCTATATCCACCTGTTTATGTGAGCTTGGGTTCTTTATGTATTTTGGCACCAGATTGAGAAGTTTCCTGGTCACCGATCCAGGATGATATGCAAGGTGTTGTGGTCACTCCACAGAAGTATGCTGGACCCTCCTCCACCCCAAATCGGTTTGCTGTCAAGACTGATGATGCCACATATGCACCGAGAGGGTAGGGAGAAATTTATTATTCACATATTGAGGCTTTCTGGGAGAGCAGGTCAGGCACCTAAGACAGTTCAAAAATAGCTTCATCAAAGGAAAGGTGAGTGACCCTGGGTTTTATGATGTTTAGGAGGTAGAACCTGGGTGAATACTCCTGCACACAGGCCAAGGCTTTGTGGGGTTTGAACTTTCCTCTGGTGCCAAGGGAAGGAGTGTGTAGACTTTCTTATCAGCTTGTCCACAGGTGGGGAGGAAGCGGAAAGTGGAGGCGGGGCTTGAAGGGTGACAGTGGTCAACATAAAAAAATGGAGTCAGATTCTTTATGACCCAGGGCCATCTTTCAAATTCAGCCCCATTTTCTGATTGTGATAAACTCAATGTAGTGACATCTAGTAAGCAGTTAGACAAACAGGAATTCTTTCTCTGGTGGTTATGATTCTGAATCATTCTTCTTACCCATCACCCTTTCTTTATGCCTATAGCATCTGGAGGGGTGTGCAGGTACAGCTCCTTTCCAGAAAGAAAGAGTAAAATGATTATTACCCAACTGTGAATACACATGGAGTCACCCTTCACTTTCTACCCAGGCGCCTAGCCCAGGTGAGTGAGAGATGCCTTCTTTGTCCTCCCTCCGTGTTCGATCCTCTGCTTCAGTCTTTTCTGCCCCTCTGCTTCATCCTAAGATAGCAGATTCACTCTCAAGGCCAGCCAGAGGGCCTTGGTGTTGGCCTAATTGTAGAGGGGTGGCTGCAGCTAGCCCTGACTCTGTGTTACTGGATAGGTTTGAAGCCTTTCTGAATGAAACAATTTTTAAAAGACTAGATTTTCTTCTTCTTCCCCCCTCCTCAACCGCCTGACCAGGGATGGAACCCAGGCCCCCTGCAGTAGAAGCATGGAGTCCTAACCACTGGACCACCAGGGAATTCCCCCAAATGACTAGATTTTTCTCCTGCTTATATGTATTTTTTTAATTAATTAATTTAATTTCTTTATTTTTGGCTATGTTGGGTCTTTGTTGCTGCACGCGGGCTTTCTCTAGTTGCGGTGAGCAGGGGCTACTCTTCTTTGTGGTATGCAGGCTTCTCATTGTGGTGGCTTCTCTTGTTGCAGAGCTCGGGCTCTAGGCGCGCGGGCTTCAGTAGTTGTGGCTCACAGGCTCAGTAGTTGTAGCTCACAGGCTCTAGAGCACAGGCTCAGTATTTGTGGCGCAGGGGCTTAGTTGCTCCGCGGCATGTGGGATCTTCCTGGACCAGGGCTTGAACCCGTGTCCCCTGCATTGGCCGGTGGATTCTTAACCACTGCGCCACCAGGGAAGGCCGATCCTGCTTATCTTGACCAGCTTTTGCAGCATAGCTTTGATGCCATTGTTTTGCTCACAAGGTGTTTTTTTAAACTAGTTCTTAATTTACCAATGACCTTTTCCCCACTGGGAAGATGGAGGAAGGAAAAAAATGAGTAAAAGGGAAAGATCACACCCTATTACATACTAATGAATCATGGCTAGATTAGAGGGTAGACTGCAGAATCTGTCTCCCCCCCTTCCCCCCTGCTAAACACCAGACTTCAAAGAATTCTGGTCAAGTAGTCACTAAGCTCCCAAGGGTCCATGTCCACAGCTCTCTGCAGCACAGTGGAAACATTTGAGAAGTCCCGTATTATTATTTCTAATAATTTAAACTGGTATTCTATTTAGTAACCAGTAGGATTAGAGGAAAAATTGCAGACAATGTGCCTTACTTGATGCTTGGAGGGAAAAGGGGAGCCATCTAACGTAATTGACAAAACCTGTTGGTTGACAAACCAATTGCCATTCCTCCTTCGCTTCCTTGCTCACAGCACTCTGGTTTTGTTCAGGAAGCTTAGGGAGCCATCTACTTCAGAGGAGGCTCTCCTTGCTCTCTGGAGATGAATCTTGATTAGTCTTAAACCAATCGTAGTGATCCTATTTCTCTTCCACTGATAAGTTAGCAATGGGCATGGGATAGTTTCAGTCAATGAGACATGAGGGGAGGTCTGTAGGAGGGAGGCTTTCTGGAAATGCTTGCTCTTAATAAAGGATACTTGGAAAGATAAAAGATCCCTTTTGTGCCTCAGGGTGGCGCTTCCCTGCATGTGGTAGCTGGATCTGGGGGAGCCATGTTGGAATCATGAGGGGGAGCAGTGAACCCCCTGAGGAGGACAGGAGAAGACACCTGAGCCCTTGAGGATGTTCTAGAGACACTTTATTAACCACACCTGCAGCTGCTTCCCATCCAGACTTTCTCTTCTGAGAGATAGTATACATCTTTATGGGTTAAGTGATTTTTGAGTTGGGTCTTCTCTCACTCATAGATAAATGCGATTCCTTACATGTACACAGTACTTTGCAGATTTCCATCCCTCATAAATTGCTTCCCTTGATCCTCCTAGAAACTCTATGGAGGTAGGCAAGACATCTTACAAATAAGGAAATTGAGGTTCAAAGAGTAGGGGCATGAGTGGCCCTACAACCAGGGTGGTCTGATTTCTAGTCCAGGGTTTTTCATCAAACCACATGGTGACTCCAGGTGTGTTGTCAAATACTGAAGGTGGGAGAACTTCTTGGACACTCTTGGGGAGGGAGAGAACACACTGCTGGAAACATTTCTCCTACTTCACTTTTGCCTCAGGTCAACTCAGATGAATTTGGCGGGGTGGGGGGTGGGGGGGGATGTTTTTCTTAATACTGGCCTTTTCTTTATCCCCAACTCAGCGTGTGCCAAGCTGAAGTTAATAGCTTACAAAGCTTAGCCTCCAGGGTTTACTGCTCTTGGAAGATCTGATTCATGCATGAGTCCTTCTTTATTTCAGGCTCAATGAAAACTGGAATTCTTTCTTTAGTGCCCTGCTTTACTTGACGGACTATGTTTGTAATTTTTCCACTAACTTCCTGTATAGAGGTGGATAGAAAGAACCTAGTTCTCTGACGTTCATTCAGACCGATCCTGTTTCAGATCCCCCTTCACTTCCTTCTCCATGTTGTTCCACGCCTCCATCCTGGCCTCAGACCTTTTGGATGTTTCTCCTATTATGTCCTCGCCTCTGACTATGTCACGTTCTCTTGTTCCTTGGCTCTCTGGCTCTCTCTCACTGATTCTCCTCTTCTATGTTTCCCTTCTTGCTTCCTCTCTCACTTCTCTCCCTGCTCCTTTAAAAAAATTCCAGTACCTTTCCCTTATTTCTGGTTCCTGTCTCTCACCTGCTCACCTCTTCCCCCATCTTTACCTTTCTAAGCTTTTAGTCTACTGTTGACTCTTCTTGACTGGATTTACAGTTTTTAGACTTGACAAGTCCTCACAAAGTCACCCCCAGAAGTTTAATGGAAATCCTTATTTTAAAATCTTAGCTTGATTTTAATTAGTTCTTATGATAATGTCAGTAATGCCAAGAGGTAAATTTTCTCTTTGGTAAATTGCTACAGAAATCTAATTCAAAGATGTCTTCTTTTCCATTCTGGAATGTCTTCTCTCTCACAGGATCATAGGATTTTAGAATTGGAAGAAGTCTTAGAAATCAACCACTTCATTTTACAGATGAAGAAACCGAGGCCCAGAAGGTGGCATGCGTTGCCCACAGTCACAGTAAGGGAGTGGAAGATTCCTGACTGGAACCAGGTTGACTTTTTTGTTTGTTTGTTTCTGTTTAAAACCTGACATTGTTATTAAAAACCATAAAGAACTACTGAAAAGTACATAGAAGGAAGAAAATGATCACCCCAAATTCAAGCACCTATAAATAACCAGTGTTAGGATGAATTGTATTAATAGGTTTTCTATTTCAATAGAATAAGCTCTATTAGGAATAATGAACATTTCTTTAGTGCTATGTGTAGTTTCTCATTAGATCCTGCATCTAATAAAATCTATAATCTAATAATTATCATTTTTTTAAATTAGTACGTTTTATCTTCATCTTAGAGGACACAATTTGCAGGTCACCTAAATAGTCCGCATAATTGTGTTCTTTTCTTTAATAAGTTGTTGGATTCAATTTAGTCACAATTTATTAACATTTTTGCATTTCTATTTATAAATTAGGTTGGCGCCCACATTCTCTCTCTCTCTTGCTACCTTTGCCAGGTTTTGGTATTGGTATTGTTTGCTTCCAAAACGAGTTGAGAAACCTTTGGTGATTTGCTTTCACTATTCCAAAGTTTCAATAAATGAGAACAACCAATTCTAAGCTAAGAATGCATTAAACTACTCTAATGAATTTCCCGCAGCATCTGAGTCTCTAATGTGGGGTCTTAACCGGCTTAGTCATGCGGGTGGGGCCACGTGGGATGTTTGCTATTAAGTAGCACTCACTGGTAGCCACTTAAAACTTTCCTCTGGACAACTGTCAGGGGAGTCTCACAATTCATGTCTCCCCCTTTCTCTGAGTATTAAAAAAAAGTCCTGGAAAAAAATCTTGAAGACGGTTTCAGTCATTTTCAACGTAGAATCCAGCCTTGAAACTAATTAAAAAAAAAAAAAAGTTTTCCTCCCTCCCCAAAGCAGCAAGGGGTAATTGGATCCGCGGCCACGTAGAAGCCTCTGGTGGCACTAAATCCGGAGAGTCTCTAGCGACAGGCAGAGACCAGCGGATTTGCCTGGGTAGTTAACAGTTTTTCCCTCCCAACTTTGGGGCCGAAGCCCAGTCCCGAGGAGTTCACGGTTTCTCCCTCGGGGACGGGTCCCCTTTGAACTCGCCAGCCAAAGAAGGCCCGCCTCTTCCCCGGGCGGGCCAGCCCACCGGACCCTGCGGGCCCAGGCGTCTCAGGGCGCAGCAGGCGGGTCCTGGCGCACGGCCGCGGCTCCTCCCCTCTCTCGGATGTGGCCTGGGGGCGGGGGGCGGGAGAGAGGGGGTGGTTGCTGCTGCCCGGGGAGGGCTGGGAGTCTTTTCCACGTTTGCAAACGCCGCCGCACGCCCAGGCCCGACTCGCGCCGCCCGAGCTCAGCGCGCCTCTCCAGCTCCGCGCCGCGACCCCCTTTCCTCGCTGCCCGCGATGGCGATCAGGGCCCGGGGTTGGCGGCCCCCGCCGCCGCCGCTGCTCCTGCTGCTGCTCTGGGTGACCGGGCAGGCGGCGCCCGTGGCGGGCCTGGGGCTGGGCTCCGACACGGAGCTGCAGATCGAGCGGCGCTTCGTGCCCGACGAGTGTCCCCGCACCGTGCGCAGCGGCGACTTCGTGCGCTACCACTACGTGGGAATGTTCCCAGACGGCCAGAAGTTCGACTCCAGGTACCTCGCACGGCGTGCCGGCCCGACCTCCGAGGCTGCAGCGCCCGCTCTCCCAGCTTCCCTGTCTCCGGACAGGCCTTTCCCTCCCGACGGACCTCCCCCAGCTCCGCCCCGCGCTCCTCCCTCTCCCTCTTCCCACCCCAAAGCTTCCCAGACCCTTCATCCCTTCAGCCGGGAGTGCTGAGGCTGGGGGCTGGGGGTGGGGGTGGGGTGCCGCGAGTTTCCCGGCCCTTTTGCTTCCCTGGTCAGCGGGAATCTTGATAGGACCTTGCGCAGCAGCTGGGTCGGGACAGATCACGCCCTCCCTCTCCACCCTGCGCATGAACACAGGCGAAATGGGTGTAAAGTCGTCAGCCCGCGAGCAGACACCAAGAGCAAATGTGTTACTGTTCCTTCGGGCAAGGCCCTTGAGTGTCTAGTCAGACATGCCTCTCGAAGGTGATAATGATGATATTGACGAAGGTGATGATAGCAGCCGCTAACATATATGGAGCTATTACAGTGTGCCAGGGTAGTTCTAAGTGCCTTCCATATAACGAACTCTTTTAATTCTTAATTCTCTGAGGTAGGAACTATCATTACCCTCATTTTGCCAGTGAGGGAACTTAAGGCCATTGAGGCTAAGAAGCTTGTTTAAGCGGAATCATTTTGAAACCCAGACAATCTAAGTCCAGGATTGTGCCTGTTAACTACTGCCCTTCCTTTACTGCCTTACCAAAAACTCCCTGGGCAAGAGGTAATCCAGAGCAAGTCACTCAGCTTTGACACGGGGCCGTGCACCGTGTCCACAATTTCAGCCCTAAACTCTGCCCCAAGATCACAACACCTCTCCCAACTTCTCTTCAGTTTAGCTTTAGGGTTGACAAGGCCTCTTCGCCTCCAGCTCCAGGCTGCTCTCCTTCCCAAGACTTTGTCATAATCCTAGGTCTGTGCCCTATAATCTCTTAAGTGAAACACCAGACTAAGTAAAGAGAAATGTTTGTTGAGCATCTGTTTTGTGTTCGAGGCTGGGCTAGGCTCATTCCTGAAGGTATCTTTTAAAAAGTACTCTTAGCCTCTCTTGCCTTTTTTGAAATTCCAGACAAGGAGTCAATATAAAAAATCTGGTTAATATGCCACATGGCACATAGCAAGTGCTGAGAAATAGTCATTCTCACTATTGTTTCAGTTGCTTCTTTTTTTTTTTAAAAAAAAGAACAGCTTTATTGAGATATAATTCACATTCCATACAATTCACCCATTTAAAGCATACAATTCATTATTTTTTAGTATATTCACAGAGTTGTGCAATCATCACAAGTCTCTAATTCCAGAACATTTTCATTGTTCCAAAAAAGAAATGCTGGATCCATTAACAGTCAGTCACTTCCCCTCCAGCTCTAAGTAACCACTAATCTACTTTCTGTCTCTTTATGGAATCATGCAGTTTGCAGCCTTTATGTCTGGCTTCTTTCATGTAGCATAATGTTTTCAAGGTTCATCGTGTTGTAGCATGTATCAGTACTTCATTCCTTTTTATGGCTGTATAATATTCCATACCGTACTTTGTTTATTCATTAGTTGGTGGACATTTGAGTTGTTTACACTTTTTGGTTATTATGAATAATGATGTTATGAACATTCATGTACAGGGTTTTCTGTGGATGTGTGTTTTCACTTCATTTTTTTAAAAAGTATTATTTATTTATTTTTGGCTGCATTGGGTCTTCATTGCTGTGCACAGGCTTTCTCTAGTTGCGGCAAGTGGGGGCTACTCTTCGTTGTGGTGTGCAGGCTTCTCATTGCGGTGGCTTCTCTTGTTGCGAAGCATGGGCTCTAGGTGCGTGGGCTTCAGTAGTTGTGGCATGTGGGCTCAGTAGTTGTGGCTCACGGGCTCTAGAGTGCAGACTCAGTAGTTGTGGCACGTGGGCTTAGTTGCCCCGTGGCATGTGGGATCTTCTCGGACCAGGGATTGAACTCACGTCCCCTGCACTGGCAGGCAGATTCCCAACCAGTGCGCCACCAGGGAAGTCACGTCCTTGCGGTTTTGATTCATGTTTCCCTAATGGCTAAAGATGCTGAACATCTTTTCATGAGTTTATTGGCCATTTGTGTATCTTTTTAAATTTGCTTCATTAATTAGAAAATAGCTAAGAATTTCCTCCTTGTGCTGATGTTAATAATTCCCATTGGAACAAATTGTCTAATACTTTCTACCCTCTAGGATGGCAGCCACTGTGAGGCAGTGTGGGACAGTGGAAAGAAAACAGAGGAGCTACCATCCATTCAGCAAATGTGTATGCAGTGTCTGCCTCTGAAGATGGTATCCCCTCCCTGTCCTTTTGCTTATAGTCCAGACAATTATATAGTGCGATAAGTACAGAAAGAATAAGAGCACACACTTCTGTCTCTCACATAGAGTTCACACATAGTTCTTACCATGTGCCTTTACATACAGGAACTGAAATGAATTCTTTTAACCTCACAGTACAGTGAGGGAGGTATCTCATTACGAACGAAGAAACTGAGGCTCAGAGAATTCAAGTAATTTACCCAAGGTGGAGTAAACGACTAAGTAGTTTAACTACTTAACTACTAAGTGGTGGAGTGGGGCTTTGAATCTAAGCAGTTTAGTGCCAGAGTCTAAAGTTTATGATCTGTAGTCCACCACGTATATGATGGAAGAACGGCAAGGAGCTTTGGAAGCACCCAGAAGGCTTAACTATATGGGTGTGTGTGTGTGTGTGTGTGTGTGTGTGTGTGTGTGTGTGTGTGTGTGTGTGTGTGTGTGTGTGTGTGTGTGTGTGTGTGTAGGGATTGGGGGCTGGGGGAATAAAGCCTGAGGAAGGTTAAAATTTACCAGGAGGAGCTGAGGGGTGAGCGCTGGGGAGTAGGGGTCGGAAGAAAGGGTGTGACTGGTAGAGAGAAGAGCATATGCAGAGGCCTGGAAGTGAGGGCATGTGAAAGCTGTTCAAAATAGCTTGAGCTTGGGCTTCCCTGGTGGTGCAGTGGTTGAGAGTCTGCCTGCCGATGCAGGGGACACGGGTTTGTGCCCTGGTCCGGGAAAATCCCACATGCCGCGGAGCGGCTGGGCCCGTGAGCCATGGCCGCTGAGCCTGCGCGTCCGGAGCCTGTGCTCTGCAACGGGAGAGGCCACAACAGTGAGAGGCCCGCGTACCACAAAAAAAACAAAAAAACAACCTGAGCTTGGAGTGGGAGTAGAGAAGTGACAGAGGGGGTTAAAAGAGGAGGTGAAGGGAGGCCAGAGAGAAAGACAGGGCCAGCTTTTTTTATTCTTTTTTTAAATTTTTTAAAATTTTTTATTTTTTTGCGGTACGCGGGCCTCTCACTGTTGCGGCCTCTCGGGAGCACAGGCCCGGGACGCGCAGGCTCCGCGGCCATGGCTCACGGGCCCAGCCGCTCCGCGGCAAGTGGGATCTTCCCGGACCGGGGCACGTACCCGCCTCCCCTGCATCGGCAGGCGGACTCCCAACCACTGCGCCACCAGAGAAGCCCAGGGCCAGCTTTTGAGAGCTCTCCTCTGCCTGGCTATGGAGTTTGGTCTTTTCAAGGGACAATGGGAAGCCATTGAAGAGTTAATCAGGGGCGTGAGGGATCAGATTTGCATTTTACAAAGGTCCCTTTGGCTGCAGTGTGGACAGTGGAATGGTGGGAGCAGGGTACACAGTAGGTGATTCATTAAAATGAGTTTCCTTCTAGGGCCTCTATTCCTTTGGGAATGTATGAAGTATTAGGGTGTTACTTTGCTATTCCTGAACAAAGAGCTTGGGGAAGGAGAAATCCGCATGCTCTGGGCTTTGGCTGTTGATCCGGAGGTTTTGCCCAGAAGAAAATGATAGCTGTCGCTCTGACCATGGTCATAAACCACAAAGGGCCTTTCTTTCCACAGATCATTCTTCCTGCGTCTGTGCCTGACGCTTGGGGGCAGTTGGTATCTTTTCAGCTTATGGGCATTTGCAGTTGCCAGGAGGCCCAGCCCTTCGGCCCTTGGTCACTGGCTTGGACGTGGTTTCATTTTATTTCGGAGCCTCCGTGGGCTCGTTAATATGCTCTGTGGCTGCTGCTACAGATCTAAGGAGAAGACGGCAGCTTCCCGCCTGGTTTCTGTGGTTTCTGGTTTCTGTGGGGGGGGGCTCCTGCTCTCACTCTCTAGTCCTTGGAAACTCCTTGTCCACCACTCTTGATTCAGCTTTTGAGGAGTTCCATAGCATTCCTAGTAGTAAGGGACTGAAGTTTAACATGTTCCTGTTATCTTTA